TCATTTCTGCCAGGTGTTCTCCGTATGCTGTTAAAAAAATTTCCTGATTGATTGATTGGCGATTAACTGCCGGAGCATATGTGTGGTGATTGTACTCTGTTTACACCTGTGTTTCTTGTTTTTTTTTTTTTCGAAAAAAAGAAATATGCTTTTATCAAAAATGTGCTGCAGCATGCTCACGTCTGTTTGTGTTTATGTGTCTGTCCGGATAATTCCTCAAAATAACGGACTTTACTGGGGTAAATTTCCCCGCAGGCAAACATAGTTCGGTTCTCCATCTGTACAACTGGGAACAACTTCAGTTGCTTTGACCAATGCTGCTTTATCACCTGTTGATGGTCAGTCTGTTGGCGATTTGGACGTGTTCGTTTCGCTTGGTGAAGCTCATTTGTTCTGTCGATAAATGACCTTTGGCAAGGCTTTGAGTCTTTTAGGCTTTAACTGTTTCGAGATGTCATTGGTCTATGTTGAGCATCACTACCTCATTTCGAATGTGAGGTTGATATCTTACCCATTAGAAGACACCTTATCTATTTCGTAGGCTGTAACAAGGTTGATACCCCTTACCCATTAGAAGATATCCTACCCATTTTTTTACCTCATTTTTTTAACCCGTTGATACTTTACCCACTTCTTAGACTGTGATAAGGCTGGTACCCCTTACCCACTGGAAGATCATAAAAGTAGGCGAGGTAAATTCAGGAATTAGTGTACTTTCAACTCTGGCTAACCCATGACTTGTAGCTTCAGGTAAGGCTGATGCCTAGGAACCGAAGATAGAAACTGCGAAATGTTAAGTTTTTGCAGTGATTCGGAAACCCACTAGAAAAGTAAAATTAGCTTTAATTCCCTCCTTATATCCTCAGCCGATACATACATATTTAGTTAGAAGTTGAATTTTTAACCCCAAACCGAAGCGTTTTGAGCCCGAAATTTTGTTTTTTACATCAGTTAACGAGAAAAAACTGTAAAACCATTTTCTAGACGTATTATTTTACCTGGTATTTGTGCGGAATAATTTACCGCAAAATTGCAAGACTGCGGAATAATTTTTGAATCGCATCAGTCTTTATGAATTGAATTAGGATTTTTAAGGATATTTGGTGTACTTTTTTTGGTTTCAGCATCGTTTGCAATGGAAGAAACCGTTGCGCATAAAACGCCTCAGATCGGAGCAAGCTGCTCAACATGTCCCTCAATTCCGGATCGTGAAGCTTTTCAACGTGCCCTACGAGAATATAATCAGAAAATCAGCGAAATAACACAAAAAGTTTCTTTTTTTTCACCTTCCTGGAGTACTGTCTCACCAGTACTGGAT